AATTGGCATGAAGTCCTACAAAAGGAGAGTCCAGGTACGCTCTGGGGTACAGGGAAGTAGCAAATGCAGCTACCTAACTTGGGGCAGAGGTCAGAGAAGGCTCTGCAGAAGTCAGCAGAGACCTGAAGGATGGCTGGGAGGTAGCCAGGTGAGGAGTGAGGAGTAGAGGCAGGAGGAGAGGTCCCAGCTAACTAAGCACCATAGTTTTGACCTCAGGAAGATTTCCTTGTCCCCCACCCCCCAGACTATGCTAGGGCCCTGACAGTGCCTTATAGGATCCAGGTTCCCTTCTCAGCCCCTAACTAATTTGCAATCATACATTTCTTTTTGTGATTGTTAGATTAATGTCTGCCTTCCACATTAAGCTCAAGCTACAGGAAAGCAGGGACTGTCCCTGCTTTTGGTCACCACTGTACCTTCAGCACCTAATACAGGACTGGGACAAAGAATATGCCCAATAACCATTTGCTGGCGGCGAAATTAATAAGCTGATGAGTGTGAGAAATCTTGTAATTAAAGAAAAATGCAGCCCGGCGCGGTGGCTCACGCCTGTAATCCTAGCTCTCTGGGAGGCCGGGGTGGAGGATCTCTCCAGGTCAGGAGTTCGAGACCAGCCTGAGCAAAAGCGAGACCCTGTCTCTACTAAAAATAGAAAGAAATTAGCTGGACAACTAAAAATATATAGAAAAATTAGCTCAAGGCCGGGCGCTGTGGCTCACGCCTGTAATCCTAGCTCTTGGGAGCCGAGGCGGGCGGATTGCTCAAGGTCAGGAGGTTCAAAACCAGCCTGAGCAAGAGCGAGACCCCGTCTCTACTATAAACAAAAGAAATTAATTGGCCAACTGATATATATATAAAAAAATTAGCCGGCATAGTGGCGCATGCCTGTAGTCCCAGCTACTCGGGAGCTGTGAGCAGAAGGATCACTCGAGCCCAGGAGTTTGAGGTTGCTGTGAGCTAGGCTGACGCCACGCACTCACTCTAGCCTGGACAACAAAGTGAAGACTCTGTCTCAAAAAAAAAAAAAAAAAAAAAAAAAAAAATTAGCCGGACATGGTGGCGCATGCCTGTAGTCCTAGCACTCTGGGAAGCGAGGTAGGACGATCGCTCGAGGTCAGGAGTTCGAGACCAGCCTGAGCAAAATCGAGATCTTGTCTCTACTAAAAACAGAAAGAAATTAGCTGGACAACTAAAAATATATAGGAAAAATTAGCCGGGCATGGTGTCACATGCCTGTAGTCCCAGCTACTCGGGAGGGTGAGGCAGGAGGATCGCTTGAGCCCAGGAGTCTGAGGTTGCTGTGAGCTAGGCTGACGCCACGGCACTCACTCTAGCCCGGGCAACAGAGTGAGACACTGTCTCAAAAAAAAAAAAAAAAAAAAAAAAGGCGAAATAGAGAATAGCAACTTGACTTCCGGTTAGTATGGGGTCTTCAGCATATTATTTACACTCTAAACTTTATACTCTAAACTTAGAGTGTAAACACAAAACGTAGTATCTACACTCTAAATGACAGTTATTATTTAAGGCAACTATAAATAACCTGAAACTATAAAAATGCCTGGAGCTTTCCTTCTGACACTGTGTTTGATGATCCTCGTTTTGGGGTGAGAGGAGTGGGGTGACCTGCCCACAGTCACATGGGCAGAGCTCTCGACCTGATGCCCAGGCCCTCACCACCAGCTGCCTCTTGACCAAAGGCTCACAGTCAGGGGGAGCTGGCTTCCTTCTTCCCTTCACCCCACAGCATCTCACCTCTCATGAGCTTTTATTATCCAACTTTGAAAAATCTCCATACCATCTTGTCGGTTTTTTTGTCTGCACCACCTGGAGGATTATTTGCTTAATATTTTTCTTTAAATCAACCCAATGTGTTACTTTGAAAAGTTCAGTGGTAAGAACACTATCAGTTTTTCTTAAATAGTAGAGAACTGCAATAAACACAATGAAAGCAAAAACATCTTGCCTACATCCAGATATTAATGGGTGAGAAAGGATCTTAGCCTGAGAGCTGCTCTCTCTGTGTTGAAACAGAAGAAATGCTAAAGGAACTTCTTTGTACAGAAGGAAAACACTCCCAGATAGAAGGAGGAAATGCAATGCACCTAAAGGGGTAAATATAAAAACTGTTGATGGCTTAAAGCAAGAATAATAAAAACATATATGTAGGAGTAAAATATACGGCAACAAGAGCAAAAAGGCAGGAGAGGGATAAATGGATTTAAATTGTTGTAAGGATCCTGCAGTGTTCAGGATGTGGTGAAAGTACTGATTTAAAGTACAAGGCAATAAGTTAAGGATGCAGTTTGTAATTACCAGGGTAACCACTAAAACAATGATAGTATAAAGCACAACAGAAAAACTAAAACAGAAGATAAACTGGGAGGTGGGGAAGAAATTAGCAAAGATGCATTAACAAGGTAAAAAAGATGCCGGTACAAACCCAAGACTTCAGTAGAGGTGAGGGAAACTTGGAAAGAAAATAAGCTTTGTGCTTTTTGATTCAATGTTTTCCAGTGTTGCACACATGACCCACCTGAAATCCATCCCCTCTTACCCTGAGGATGTGGGTACGAGGCTTTGAAAGCTTGTCCACCAGCAGATATAACAAGGAGGCCATCCGTCACTAGGAATGGCGCTTGGAATCATGTGTCCATATCCTTCTCACTTTTCTCATGGGACAAATGTCAGAGCAGAATTGGGCTCCACATAAAGAGCCAGATACCACTTCTAACCAGAGCCCTTTCTTTAAACCGGTGACTTTCATGGGGTGATTTTGCCCACCAAAGAGTATTTGACAATGTCTGGGGACATTTTGGGTTGTCACAGCTAGGGGGAGGGGGACTGCTGCCGGCATCTATATGCCAGGGCTGCTGCTGAACATCCTACGATATGCAGTGCAGCCTCAAATAAATCATGTGGCCCAAAATGGCAATAGTGCCAAGGTTGGGAAACTCTGCTTTAGGGCAAAACTAATCATGACACCAAATTGGAGTCTAGAGCTGAAGCCAAGAGGAGGAGAGTTGGCCACACGAATGCACCTGTTCTGAGGGCCACACTGGTAGAAAGACTTTCAGCCCCACTTCCCTGGGCTGGAATCAGACTGATCATCGACACTGAGGCTCTTCTCAGAGAGTTTGGCGACATTCTTACGCACAGAAAAAGCTCTAGTTTCACAAAGCTGCAATCCTAGAAATTAGGTAAAGACCTTTCCTGACATCAAACCCCAGAGAGACAGCATTGTGAGAACAGAGTAATACAATACTGTTTTGACAGGGCACATCCACAAGACCTATTATGGACGGATAAGTGACCTTCTTAAACATAAACGACCCCGTGGTCAGTCTTGTTCCTCAAGCCGTTTCTCCGGAAAGCCTGAGTCACTGTGCTCATCTTTGCTTTTCTTGGTTATCCAGGGCATAGCCAGGTGCATTTCTGTCTTTCCTTGATATCTGTGCATCGTACCTCCCAGGACTCACCTGTGAACTGCCACCAGCTATAGCTGTCACCCTGGCCTCCTCCTTTGCCCCGGCAGAGGCTCCTGGAGCCATCGTGCTTCCTCCACAGCAGCGCCAAGCCTCAGGGGATGTGCCCTCCTGTCTCCAGCTGACAGCCCGGCTCTGCAGAGCCTCAGAGGCAAGAGAGCAAAGCTCCCAGGAGGTTCCCTGCTCCCTGGCAGGCATCCCCAGGGATTCAGGGCAGGCAGAGAATTCTCTCAGGGACAAAGTCTTCACTGCGCCCCAAGCCTCCCTCCCAAGTGATGGTCTATTCAGGGGTCCTCAAACTACAGCCCGAGGGCCACATGCGGTCCACCGAGGACATTTATCCAGCCTGCCGAGTGTTTTTGCCACCGCTGCCTGTCCTGCTTAGCCCACAGTGCGCATGTGTGGAATGTGCACCGCACTCTCCAACGGCCCTCCAACGGTCTGAGGGACAGTGAACTGGCCCCCTGTTTAAAAAGTTTTGAGGACCCCTGAATATGTGCAAGGGACGAGAGTG